TTTCCCTTCTTCAAGAATATCTAAAAGTATATTGTATACAACTTTGACAAGTGTTCTTCATAAAGTTAATCATCTTATTGTTATCAAATCTTACCTTATCATCATCAAGCAATCCTTGCATCCTTGCCAGCTTCAAGATGTGACTCGCGAATTTTTTATTGCATTTTGCAAACAATACATCATTCAAGTGATCGAATATCAATATACCTTTCATTTCGTTTACAGTTTCACACGTCTACTCTTGTTTACAATATAACATATGATTGTCAAATCTCTACCACGTAAACAGAGCTACTATTTTCATTGGATTTCCTGTTCTTATTGATTATGCAGACACTATTGTTTATTGATTATTGTTTATCTCACGACTTCTTTCGGCAAGACAGACTATGGAGACTATCAGAGAATACTTCTCTGAAACGAAATCAAGTCTTATTGGCCAGTTGAAAATGAGGCCCTTTGATTGGTCAATCGCGCTGATTACCCTAGGTTATCCTAGACACCGATCGATATGAGTGATCGTGTCCAATCGCACGGTGTCCAAATAAACCTCTCTCATTATTTAGCTTCCAACGGGTAAAAACATTCTTACCATTTATCGGTATCGTGCTGTTTGTCAATAGTTGCGAAGTGTTTTCTCGAAGCGCTGTAGTCGCATTAGTTTACATCATGGTTGCCCTACGATCGCTCGCAGTTGTCAACGCCGATCAATTTGCATAATGTCCAATAAAGTGAGTACGTCAAAAACTTGGAAATTAGCGAAATTATCGAGTTGTATACTACATTCTCAATCATAACGGGAAATATGAAAAATGCATTTTTTTTTGTCCGTTTTTAATTAATCGCGATTGCGCGAGTTTGACATTTTACAATCAAGGCTCCTTCGCACATACGTCAACCTCGAAACTATTGACATTTCTTACTACGTGAATGTCGGTAGAACGTCATTACAATAAGGCGAAATATAGATTTTGTATTTACTGCCATCACTATGCACATCTTTCATCAACTATAGAACGCATGACTCATTGTTTTGACATTTTATTCATAAGCATCAATAATATAAAAATTAGATGTAGAAGAAGATAGAAACTAATGTCTAAAAATTTATGTCGTTTCTACAACAATTCTTTTCACATTTCGTTTTTTACAAATATAAAAGAAATATACACATATAAAAATGTGCATATATCTATTTTTGAAACAAAAATAAAATTTTTTTTTTTTCTAGAATGTAAAGCCTAAATAAATCATAATTCATAGTTAAATCATTGTTATTATATATAAAATGTTATCGCAAAAAAAAACATTGTATATGCTTATCAAGTTTTACTTTATATTTTAACCAAATTTTTTTTATACATATATTTTCATATTGATAATATTTCTTTATTTCTTTTTAGGGAGCTACTAAGAAAACTGAACTTAAAGATGAAGTTAAAACACGTACGCGGTCAAGATCTAAAGTTCTATCAAGCAAGGAAGGCGATGCAGAAACGTCGAAAAAATTGGAATCTAATCTTCCAAGAAAATCTCAAACCATTGAGCATAGAGGAGATGGGGACAAATCAAAACTGTTACAGAATTCCATAACAAATAGAACACGATCAACTAGAAATATTAGTAAGCCATCTATTGGATCTTCTCAGATTAAGACTATCAAGCAAAGTTCTTCGTCCTCAACATTGAAATCTAGTCCACATAATGCTTCATCTAGTCACTTGTTAACAAAAAAGAATATAAATTCCAAGACAAAATCTGAAAATGCTATTAAATTGAACGACGATAGTACGATCAAGAAGAGGAAATCTAGAGAGCAAACGGGATATTCAGAAAAAAGAGGCGTTAGTACAGTATATATGTCAAAGCCAATTGCAAACAAGCTTAATATTAAGTCTAAGGAGAAGACTGTATATCGAACATCGAGAGATAAGGAAAAATTGCAAGATTCTTCTGTATTTGGTCAAGCTAAATCACAACTGTCATCCAGAGAGCGTAGGAAATCCAGAACACTAAGTCCCAGTGAAGTAAGAATGCTGCATAGTGCTGTAAAGAGACCGGAGATAGCAGAAAAAATAGAGCAGAAGAAAAATATCACAACAGATCCACCTGATCATCCTGATGCACAAGCAGATTCGGATCAGGCAGACTATGATTACGAGGACGATTTTGAGGTAAAAAAGGAAAAAAGAATTGTATATAAGAATTATAATTTTAATAAGCTCTTAAAATTGCACACATATTAACTTATTTAAAAAATTTGAAGATACTTGAAACTGAGTCGAGAATCTAAAATTATGGTACTCCTTCTAGGATTATGAATCGGACTTTCAAGAATGCACCGACAGCGATCCTTCCTTAATTAGCGAAAAGTCAGATAGCAGTGGAAGTAATTCCCATCTAGAACCTATCGAACTGCGTTCCCGAGAAAAGGTACTATTCAATATACTATATCTATATATTAAAATATATATATATTTTTAAAAAAATATATTGCAGAAGAGCACGGAACATATGAAAGTCGAAGAGGAACGTATGCTCGATTCGGGACACTACGATCTCGCGGAAGCGAGAAAACGGGCGGCACGGGTAGAATCTATGCTCGTAAATCAATCCAACACGCCGCCGTTACCTGAATTAAGAGAGCCAATTGGCAAAACATTTAGGTTTGTGATAACTAAAATCAAATATCAAGACAAATAAATGAATATTTATATGCAAGTTTGTTATTATTTGCTTCTTATTGTCTGACTGTTACATTTTTATGTAGCATTTTGTTGCATGTTTTTCTAAGCTGTTGTGTTTTGAGAAAAATAAAAACGTGTGGTCAATTTAACGCATTCGCATTTATTTTTGGAACAGTGATGACAGACCGGTGGAAAATAAATCTTTGCCGTCATCTACCGATGAAGGTTTCGAGGATAGTCGCTCCGGGGATTTTATTAGATCTCCGCCATTGTCGCAAATACCATTTATCGATTTTCGTAAATCGAAAGAAAACCAAAGCGAAGAGGTAATACACTTTCATAAGAATATATCGTACAATTTATTGTGTACTTTTTTAAATTCTGACAAGTTTGTCCTTTTTTTGCAGAATTTACGAAAACTTCGAAGCAGAGGCGAGGAATTATTGGAAATGATAAAACTGGATTTTATGGAATGGTCGCTCTTAGAGTGCAGCCCCATACCTTACGATGAATTTATAAGAAATTACGGAAAACTAAATACTCAACAAGTATGTAATGCATTGTATCATGATTGTGTGATAGTTTGTAACATACTATATTTTACCAGGTGTGTACTCAAACTGGCGACGATAATATGGACATCGAGATACAAACGGACGAAGTACACAGTAAGAATAAATGGACTCAATTCCCTGTAACATGTAGAAAAGAATTACGTGACAAACGGGATATAAACTTATTTAGAATGGTATTAATTTATTCTCTGCTATTTAGAGAACTTGATATAAATTTAACAAAACAGAATTATTATTCTAAATTTTTTATTAAACTTTACAGGAACAAAATGGTGTCGGAAACGATTTGGATGAGCCGGACGATATAAATTTTTTATTACGGCCATCATATGATGTATTACAGTTGAATGATTTTCTTAATCGCGCGGGCACAGTCGTGTTATCCTTACTGGAAGAGAAAGAACACGGTGGTACCGTTTTTCAAAACAATGTAGACGGATTATCGTTTAGTGATGGTTTCGTGAAGCTCTCTGTAGATTCAGTGACATTTTTAGCTACCAGGCCAGTTAAGATTATACACTATTCAAACATCTCAAATAAGATTCTGCTCACTATACACGCTCCCGTAGAAGAGGTAAGTGAGACTATTATACTATTCACAGTGGTTTAAAATAATTTAAAACAACAAATTTTTTTCTTTTACAGGAGATAGAAACCATAAGTAGACAGGATTACATCACCGATTGTTGCATTGGATGCGTTTGGAACATTTCCGAACCTTCAATGCCGAAGAAATTATTCTATTCGCAAAGCTCCATTACCGCTTGTTGTTTTCATTTAACGAATTGCGACATAGTGTTCGCCGGACTCGAGGATGGGTACGCGACTTGAATCTTTTTCTAAGCTTTTACATTTCTTTGTATTAATTTAAAAATGAAAAAATGAAAATAGATCACTGAGCCTCTGGGATCTGAAGGATGATGAGATGTGGCATCAGAAAATTACTGATAAAGCTAACGAGTTGGATTGGGTGATAAGAACCCCCACTTATACAACAACAGGAATTACGGAGTTAGATGCACACACGTCGCAAGTTGTTGCGATACGTGTGCAATCAAAAATCGAGACTATTTCTGCCAAAGAAAGAAGCAACAAGTTTGTTCCTATTCAGGTTACTACTCCGTCATTGATCGCAGTTTTAACATGTCGCTATTAGAAAATGTAGTTCTACTAATTCTTGCTTGTTCTTAACAAATTTAACAGATATGTAGTTTAGACGAGGATGGTTATCTTATAATATGGAGTATTGTACACAATATGGGTATAAATATCGATGATTTGGGACTCTCTCACTGGGGTAACATAAGGCTTGTAAAGAATCAGAAAATGTCTTTAACAGAAAGAAACAAGGAGATGTAAATATAATAGATATGCAAATCTCTTTCGCTATATGTACCCAAAATTTTTAACTATCCGACTTTCTTTTAGAATGAATACATTTATCGATATGCAAGTGGATAGCGCAAATACAAATAATATTTATGTCGTAACTAACAACACTAATGTTTTGCATGCTACTTGCATCGGTAACAAAACTAATCCATTAATGTACAAACCAACTGAAATAAGTGAGTCGTAGTTTTGTTATTGCATCGAAAAACATCATAATGAAATTATCAATTACATAATTAAATAATAATTATAGGTGAATGTGGTAGTTCAACTTGCATCGATGTCTGTCCTTTTAGTCAATCATTTTTCTGGGTAAGACTTCTTTTGCTATTTATAGTTTTAAAAGTTTATTTGATTCCTATCAATCTCATCTTTATGTCGATTAGATCGGTTGTAATGACGGAACGATTCGACTTCATTACTTGAATACGGAGAGACCGATCGTACAACTGAAAAATGAACAATGTATAGATAAAATTAAAATTTTGCAATGGTCAAAGACGAAACCGCTGACTATATACATCCTGGACAATAATTCTCGGTAAGTTCTTTTCACAAATAAAAAAGAACAGGCATTGCAAATGAACGAATCAGATGGTGCGATAAATGAAAACTAAAAATCCAACAGAATTCATGTATGGGACTTGAGTAAGAGTGACACCGGCCCTGTACATACGTTGTCTATGCAAAAGGAGGGAAGTATAAGCAGCATGCAGCTATCCTCTTGCATAATGGATCAAGATATGATGAATCAATACTTGGTGAGTTTAAACAGATAGAGTTCATACTCGAAAGAGATTTCTATGCATTTTACATTTTGAAATGTCTTTTCAGGCCTTTGGCACCGAATCTGGTAATGTAGAGGTACACAAACTGAAAAAAGACTTCTACTATTCGAAAAAAGAAGAATTTTTACAAGAATTCAACGTGTTTTCGCGATACGTTTCGGTTCCATAAATAAAAACAAATATGGACTCGTGAAAGGAGAATTATATAGAAGGACACTAATAGAAGAGAAAGATCGCTTAGAATTACAATTATTATTAATACTTTTGAAGAATTGGATAGATTCATGGATTTTATACTTCCAATATATACGTGCGCTTAAAATGTAGATGATATAGATATTAGATATTCGGTAAGTATCATTTCAATACAAGTTGAAATTATTTCGCATTTTTAATATTTCGATATTTTTAACTTAACAAGGGACAATCTCGCATATTTCCGAATTAATTATACAAGACAGTATGTACTAGTAATCATTAGTAATTTCTGATGAAATTAAACTTTTCTAATGTGTGCATTGAAGCACGTTTGAAAACAATTAGAATTTTGTACACTCTACAGAGACTAGTTGAATAACGAGTGAGATTTTTGCACATGTATCTTTCTTTATCGCAATTCCATCCAGAGAAAATAAATACCGTCCAGTGTAGATAATAGTATTTATAACACATTTATATACATATATATATATATACATTTATTTAGTATTGTACAAAAAATTTTTTTTCTAGAATGTAAAGCCTAAATAAATCATAATTCATAGTTAAATCATTGTTATTATATATAAAATGTTATCGCAAAAAAAAACATTGTATATGCTTATCAAGTTTTACTTTATATTTTAACCAAATTTTTTTTATACATATATTTTCATATTGATAATATTTCTTTATTTCTTTTTAGGGAGCTACTAAGAAAACTGAACTTAAAGATGAAGTTAAAACACGTACGCGGTCAAGATCTAAAGTTCTATCAAGCAAGGAAGGCGATGCAGAAACGTCGAAAAAATTGGAATCTAATCTTCCAAGAAAATCTCAAACCATTGAGCATAGAGGAGATGGGGACAAATCAAAACTGTTACAGAATTCCATAACAAATAGAACACGATCAACTAGAAATATTAGTAAGCCATCTATTGGATCTTCTCAGATTAAGACTATCAAGCAAAGTTCTTCGTCCTCAACATTGAAATCTAGTCCACATAATGCTTCATCTAGTCACTTGTTAACAAAAAAGAATATAAATTCCAAGACAAAATCTGAAAATGCTATTAAATTGAACGACGATAGTACGATCAAGAAGAGGAAATCTAGAGAGCAAACGGGATATTCAGAAAAAAGAGGCGTTAGTACAGTATATATGTCAAAGCCAATTGCAAACAAGCTTAATATTAAGTCTAAGGAGAAGACTGTATATCGAACATCGAGAGATAAGGAAAAATTGCAAGATTTTTCTGTATTTGGTCAAGCTAAATCACAACTGTCATCCAGAGAGCGTAGGAAATCCAGAACACTAAGTCCCAGTGAAGTAAGAATGCTGCATAGTGCTGTAAAGAGACCGGAGATAGCAGAAAAAATAGAGCAGAAGAAAAATATCACAACAGATCCACCTGATCATCCTGATGCACAAGCAGATTCGGATCAGGCAGACTATGATTACGAGGACGATTTTGAGGTAAAAAAGGAAAAAAGAATTGTATATAAGAATTATAATTTTAATAAGCTCTTAAAATTGCACACATATTAACTTATTTAAAAAATTTGAAGATACTTGAAACTGAGTCGAGAATCTAAAATTATGGTACTCCTTCTAGGATTATGAATCGGACTTTCAAGAATGCACCGACAGCGATCCTTCCTTAATTAGCGAAAAGTCAGATAGCAGTGGAAGTAATTCCCATCTAGAACCTATCGAACTGCGTTCCCGAGAAAAGGTACTATTCAATATACTATATCTATATATTAAAATATATATATATTTTTAAAAAAATATATTGCAGAAGAGCACGGAACATATGAAAGTCGAAGAGGAACGTATGCTCGATTCGGGACACTACGATCTCGCGGAAGCGAGAAAACGGGCGGCACGGGTAGAATCTATGCTCGTAAATCAATCCAACACGCCGCCGTTACCTGAATTAAGAGAGCCAATTGGCAAAACATTTAGGTTTGTGATAACTAAAATCAAATATCAAGACAAATAAATGAATATTTATATGCAAGTTTGTTATTATTTGCTTCTTATTGTCTGACTGTTACATTTTTATGTAGCATTTTGTTGCATGTTTTTCTAAGCTGTTGTGTTTTGAGAAAAATAAAAACGTGTGGTCAATTTAACGCATTCGCATTTATTTTTGGAACAGTGATGACAGACCGGTGGAAAATAAATCTTTGCCGTCATCTACCGATGAAGGTTTCGAGGATAGTCGCTCCGGGGATTTTATTAGATCTCCGCCATTGTCGCAAATACCATTTATCGATTTTCGTAAATCGAAAGAAAACCAAAGCGAAGAGGTAATACACTTTCATAAGAATATATCGTACAATTTATTGTGTACTTTTTTAAATTCTGACAAGTTTGTCCTTTTTTTGCAGAATTTACGAAAACTTCGAAGCAGAGGCGAGGAATTATTGGAAATGATAAAACTGGATTTTATGGAATGGTCGCTCTTAGAGTGCAGCCCCATACCTTACGATGAATTTATAAGAAATTACGGAAAACTAAATACTCAACAAGTATGTAATGCATTGTATCATGATTGTGTGATAGTTTGTAACATACTATATTTTACCAGGTGTGTACTCAAACTGGCGACGATAATATGGACATCGAGATACAAACGGACGAAGTACACAGTAAGAATAAATGGACTCAATTCCCTGTAACATGTAGAAAAGAATTACGTGACAAACGGGATATAAACTTATTTAGAATGGTATTAATTTATTCTCTGCTATTTAGAGAACTTGATATAAATTTAACAAAACAGAATTATTATTCTAAATTTTTTATTAAACTTTACAGGAACAAAATGGTGTCGGAAACGATTTGGATGAGCCGGACGATATAAATTTTTTATTACGGCCATCATATGATGTATTACAGTTGAATGATTTTCTTAATCGCGCGGGCACAGTCGTGTTATCCTTACTGGAAGAGAAAGAACACGGTGGTACCGTTTTTCAAAACAATGTAGACGGATTATCGTTTAGTGATGGTTTCGTGAAGCTCTCTGTAGATTCAGTGACATTTTTAGCTACCAGGCCAGTTAAGATTATACACTATTCAAACATCTCAAATAAGATTCTGCTCACTATACACGCTCCCGTAGAAGAGGTAAGTGAGACTATTATACTATTCACAGTGGTTTAAAATAATTTAAAACAACAAATTTTTTTCTTTTACAGGAGATAGAAACCATAAGTAGACAGGATTACATCACCGATTGTTGCATTGGATGCGTTTGGAACATTTCCGAACCTTCAATGCCGAAGAAATTATTCTATTCGCAAAGCTCCATTACCGCTTGTTGTTTTCATTTAACGAATTGCGACATAGTGTTCGCCGGACTCGAGGATGGGTACGCGACTTGAATCTTTTTCTAAGCTTTTACATTTCTTTGTATTAATTTAAAAATGAAAAAATGAAAATAGATCACTGAGCCTCTGGGATCTGAAGGATGATGAGATGTGGCATCAGAAAATTACTGATAAAGCTAACGAGTTGGATTGGGTGATAAGAACCCCCACTTATACAACAACAGGAATTACGGAGTTAGATGCACACACGTCGCAAGTTGTTGCGATACGTGTGCAATCAAAAATCGAGACTATTTCTGCCAAAGAAAGAAGCAACAAGTTTGTTCCTATTCAGGTTACTACTCCGTCATTGATCGCAGTTTTAACATGTCGCTATTAGAAAATGTAGTTCTACTAATTCTTGCTTGTTCTTAACAAATTTAACAGATATGTAGTTTAGACGAGGATGGTTATCTTATAATATGGAGTATTGTACACAATATGGGTATAAATATCGATGATTTGGGACTCTCTCACTGGGGTAACATAAGGCTTGTAAAGAATCAGAAAATGTCTTTAACAGAAAGAAACAAGGAGATGTAAATATAATAGATATGCAAATCTCTTTCGCTATATGTACCCAAAATTTTTAACTATCCGACTTTCTTTTAGAATGAATACATTTATCGATATGCAAGTGGATAGCGCAAATACAAATAATATTTATGTCGTAACTAACAACACTAATGTTTTGCATGCTACTTGCATCGGTAACAAAACTAATCCATTAATGTACAAACCAACTGAAATAAGTGAGTCGTAGTTTTGTTATTGCATCGAAAAACATCATAATGAAATTATCAATTACATAATTAAATAATAATTATAGGTGAATGTGGTAGTTCAACTTGCATCGATGTCTGTCCTTTTAGTCAATCATTTTTCTGGGTAAGACTTCTTTTGCTATTTATAGTTTTAAAAGTTTATTTGATTCCTATCAATCTCATCTTTATGTCGATTAGATCGGTTGTAATGACGGAACGATTCGACTTCATTACTTGAATACGGAGAGACCGATCGTACAACTGAAAAATGAACAATGTATAGATAAAATTAAAATTTTGCAATGGTCAAAGACGAAACCGCTGACTATATACATCCTGGACAATAATTCTCGGTAAGTTCTTTTCACAAATAAAAAAGAACAGGCATTGCAAATGAACGAATCAGATGGTGCGATAAATGAAAACTAAAAATCCAACAGAATTCATGTATGGGACTTGAGTAAGAGTGACACCGGCCCTGTACATACGTTGTCTATGCAAAAGGAGGGAAGTATAAGCAGCATGCAGCTATCCTCTTGCATAATGGATCAAGATATGATGAATCAATACTTGGTGAGTTTAAACAGATAGAGTTCATACTCGAAAGAGATTTCTATGCATTTTACATTTTGAAATGTCTTTTCAGGCCTTTGGCACCGAATCTGGTAATGTAGAGGTACACAAACTGAAAAAAGACTTCTACTATTCGAAAAAAGAAGAATTTTTACAAGAATTCAACGTGTTTTCGCGATACGTTTCGGTTCCATAAATAAAAACAAATATGGACTCGTGAAAGGAGAATTATATAGAAGGACACTAATAGAAGAGAAAGATCGCTTAGAATTACAATTATTATTAATACTTTTGAAGAATTGGATAGATTCATGGATTTTATACTTCCAATATATACGTGCGCTTAAAATGTAGATGATATAGATATTAGATATTCGGTAAGTATCATTTCAATACAAGTTGAAATTATTTCGCATTTTTAATATTTCGATATTTTTAACTTAACAAGGGACAATCTCGCATATTTCCGAATTAATTATACAAGACAGTATGTACTAGTAATCATTAGTAATTTCTGATGAAATTAAACTTTTCTAATGTGTGCATTGAAGCACGTTTGAAAACAATTAGAATTTTGTACACTCTACAGAGACTAGTTGAATAACGAGTGAGATTTTTGCACATGTATCTTTCTTTATCGCAATTCCATCCAGAGAAAATAAATACCGTCCAGTGTAGATAATAGTATTTATAACACATTTATATACATATATATATATATACATTTATTTAGTATTGTACAAAAAATATATAAATATAAGAGAAAGGATAAAACTGAAATAATAAGATTGTACTTGAGATATATGTAATATTTTATACATAGTCTAAATGATTTGATGTCACGTTTTCTTCATATATACAAATAATTCATTATTGATAGTACCCTTGAAAAAGAGTGATGATTCTATCTATAAAAATAAGCTAAAAATATAGAATAAAATTTTTTCACATTTTTTTGAGAAAATTTATTTTAAAAATTGGACAGTTAATAATGTCTTATTATTTTTGAGCTTGGATAATTCCTGACTACTTTTCAACATAAAACATATAATTTATAAATATATTATACAAAGAATATATATATTTAAATTATATATTTTCTCTCAAGACTTATCTTACAATAAGACCATTAAAAAGATATGTATTTCTTTGAACGAATTTTATACTAATAGTTGCACATTGTTGAATGCACCAACATACAACCTGCAATGTCATTAAAAAATTATACAAGCTTAAGATAGAGGAAAGATGTTACTAATCTCACAATTTTTCAAATTTTGTTTTCTCAAAAATAAAACTTTGTGTAGAAAAAATCTATTCTTTTATACAAATCTAACTTTTGTCGATTGTACCATCAATTACAAATGATTCTGTATTACATGGCATTGTCTGTTCCTAGAGAGCATACAGTTCATTGTCAACAGCTCAACAATTAATTTAGAATAATGACAACAATCATACATAGGGAAATAATTCCCTGGAAATGAGAGATCCATGTGCTCGCGGCACTACAAACTTCTTGCTTCACAAAATCTTCTATGATTTCGTCGTAATTGCGTCCTCTCAATACTTGATGACCATGTAACTCTAAATGTCGCGTGTTGTGCTGCAACAACAAAAATTACATTTATCACATTTATAACTAGATATCTATCAGAACGCTATTATATTGTAATATTTTTTATCGTAAAAAAAATAATATAACATCGGCAATTTTTTTGCAAATGACACATGTTTGAAAAAGTGCACTCTTTTTTTATCTCAAATTTAAACAAAATTTATCGGTATTTGACTCACGCATTTAATAAACACACCAGGAAACTCTTTCGTAAAAAATTTGAAAGTGATAAAAATTCTGAAATTGCAAAGATACATATTACTGACACTGACATGATGTGTGATTATTGTTTCTGGATCAGAGAGATGTTGGCCAGAATTAATGCCGAAACGCAGATTGAGAAGAGGAAAAAGATAGTGCCACGGGTGGATCCGGTTGTCATTGTTCACGGAGGCGCCGGGAAAATTCCACGATATGCGCGAGAATTTATGCTCGACGAGGTTAAACTATTTGTTATCTATACCGAACAATGTGCGAAAGTTTTATAAAATATGAGAAAAAAAACGCGATATTCGATGAATGGATACAGGTGAAAAATGCCGCTGTGGCAGCGTATCGCGATCTGATTAAAGGATGCTGTTCGCTAGATGCAGTTGAGCGTGCGATTTGCCACATGGAGAGCAAGAAATATTTTAATTGCGCGTATGGAGGTTCCTTAGACGCTAACGGCGAGGTCGTGATGGACGCTGCGATAATGACGAACGATTTACGCGTGGGTTGCGTAGGCGCCGTTCGAAATATAGCACATCCTATAACATTAGGTTTGTCGTAATAATTAAATATTTATTTCTCTAAAGCGACCTGTCCAAAACACTCAACGTTCTTACAGCCAAACTGGTCCTGCAACAAACGGAACACATATTGATAGTCGAAGACGGAGCGCAGAAGCTCGCCTTGGAATCAAATTTTCCCACTTTGTCCCCCGGTAAATTAATCGTAACGATTGATTCAAAGACGTCGTTACACGAAGAAGGAGATAACGGTAAAAACAAAGAACACAATGGAGAAAAAATATAACTATTTAAGAAATATTAATTGTAAAATTGATGATATCGAATGTAAGAAACATTGAACGATACGAGAAAGACACAACAACTGTTACAAGACGGACAGAAACAATCCGATACGAAGGAATGTATACCGGGATGTGTAATCGAAAGACACGAAGAGGAAAAAAGCGATACCTCGGATATCACAATTATTAAATCAGACGAATCTCCGATCGAGCCTGATATTTTACAGGTTGATTAATTCATTCTTCTAGATTTGTGCATGTATGAAATGTTCGAGCAAAAGTAACTAATAGAATTTTTTTAAGGTTTCCTAAATTCCAAAAATTTGCAGGATTTTTAAAATATCTAATATGGCACTTTACTAAATTATAAATTTAACTTTTACTCTAAACTATAAGTCTACAACTTATTTAAAAGAAAGAGTGATTTTTTCTATCTACTTCATAAATATATGATATGAAATCTAGACAGATCTATTTAGATAAGTTATGGACTTAGAATATTTTTATGCTCTGAACATTTCATACTAATTGCATAGAAATATTTTATACCTTATAATTATGCTACACGAGCTACGTGAGACATATAATATCGGAAAGAATATTTTATTAGCTTGGCGCGGTTGGAGCAGTGGCATACGACCGTAAAAAGCGTCTTGCCAGCGGGACTTCGACGGCCGGAGAAACGGGAAAGTTATACGGAAGCGTGAGCGCGACCGGTACAGCGATCGGTTGCGGCATTTACGTTGATCAAGGTGGCTCGGTGTCTGTTTCGGGTTGCGACAATGTTATCTACAAATACGCGCCAGCACAGCGAATCCTTCGGCGATTGCAATGCAAAACAACATCGATCGATGAAGCGATCACCGCGGTATTACGGGATCTCGAGGAAAAAATCGGCGTATCTTCACCGAAACCCGATGTGGGCGTGATCGCAGTGACCGCCGAAGGAATACCGTCCGTGTCCTTCAAGTGCGCGCACTTTCCCTGGGCATACTGCGACAAAGGCTACGTTTATTACGGATGCACGAAAAACGAAAGATTTTCGGAGAAGCTCGACGTTCTCGAACGTCCATTAGACTGCATGTGCGAAGATTCCGATTAGCTGAAAGCACAGTCAAGCACAGAGAACCTACCAATCTTGATCAAAGTTTGAGTTGCAGCAAATTTAATGGGTACATTTCTGGCCAAAATATTCCTTGTTGGTCCAACTTACTTGTTTTCTTTAAACCTCCATAGCATAAGAATGAACTTGAAAGAATCAGTTTGAAGACATTTTATCGATCTTTTTACGATTATGTCATCGCTTCAAGTTTACCTTCTTAAATCCCTAATATTAAAAACTACACAATTTTCTATTTCCAGTGTTCTATGTTTAACTTACGGGAAAGATAATGCTGAGATTGCCTTCGTAAGGCCCATACAACAAGAATGCAGGTGACTGTTTGTTGGCATTCTTTCCAAACAGCTTATCCATTTCGAGCAGCATGGAATAGATCTCCTGGCGTCTTAGGTCCGTGATATTCTCATTCGATACTATCTATCAAGACAAAAGAAATCCGTATTTACGAGCAAAATTACAAACTGAGAGAATAAGAAGAATCTATATCACAACCCATCTAATATTAAGTTAGGGCCTCAGCACAATAAAAGGAATAAGGAACAGGGAATAGAGAACAGAGAACAACAATGCGCGCACAACACTTGTGTGCGCATTCCCTCCAATGTGATTGTTCTCTGTTCTCTATTCCCCGTTCCTTATTCCTTTTATTGTGCTGAGGCCCTTACTGTTAAAAAGGAAAGAACTATACCGAACCAAGAGTTGTCCAAGCGAGCAAATACGGAACTTCTTGCGAAGTGTCTGTCAAAGTCGGACCTAATATCCTATATTTGGGCATTCGATTGACGTTCCTATGATCAATCTTCTCGTGATAAAAATCACCTGCGATATTATAAAAGGTACGTGTTAGAAATAATACAGAGGACATTAGTAAGCTGAAATAATCAGCGCAACTCACCGATTTCTGTCTTGCTTTCTATGATCTTGAGATTGACGAAGGCAACGTCGACGATACCCGAAGTTAAATAATTGAAAGCATCTAAATCATCGTCTGCTCGCTTCATATCTGCATAAAATCGTAGGAAATCTTGATTATTTTCTTTTACTCACATGTGTCGTCTGTATAATCGTTTTTATATGATTACACTAGATTTATTAACTTCAGAGAACAGTATCAGTTTTATCATACGCGATTCATATCACTTTTATACATTACGTGTCGTGCAAAATTTAGATATGATCTATCACATGTCTCTGTACATTATATATGTTTATATCTTTATGATCGATTCTCGTTTACATTTAATCGGGACTGTGCATTCAACATATATTACTTTTTCTGCATAAAGAGTGCAAATTAGCTGGAAGCTCTTCATTGTTATCGAGAACATCGAGAAGGCAGCTGTCCTTGAAGAATTTTGCAACAGCCTGCGCATCTGAACAATCCCAATTTTTGTCTGACATGTTTCTCATTAATGTCACAAAAGCGTTCCAGCCTGATAAGACATCAATAATTAAACAAAAACAATTCGGCGATTGATGTTAAATAATATAATTAGAAGATAAAATAATATATTCTAATTCTTTTATATATATGTAATTATATAAATATACGTATAAAATCGCACCGATGCTTTTGTAGCCCGTAAAGGACGCTCTGGCACCTTTAAGATCTTTTATGGTCATAAATGAGGAATTAACTTTTACAATTGCCACGATTCTGTTTATTTCCTCTTTTGCGTTAGTCATCGCATTGACGATAGGCTTCAAACCTTTCCTATGAGAAAGTCAATACAAAAAATAAAGGGAAAATATTTTTTCTCTTTTTATCTATCATATTTCCCCGTCGGCATGATTTTCGCACTTACATTCTAGCTTCGAGAAGTTCCTCGGGCCGCACGAAAAAGATGTCCATTAGATTGTCCTGTATGGCTTTCAAGCACGATTCTCTGTTCTTTTCCTGGAAGCAGTAGATCTTCGGTTCCACACCGTAAACGATAGAGGCGGCTCTCAGCGAGTCACATTTACGCGACTCGAGATTGGACACCACACACCACCGCACTTCTCTTGAAGGCCGACAACCCGATCGAGTATATGCACTCATAAAATTTGGGACTGTAATCAGGAGGTATAAGGACAAACATTAGGACAATACCAGGTATTTTACATCACTTTCTAAATATATATATACATATATTTCTGAATATTTTTTTTTTTTAAATCTCATATCAGTTCAAATATTTTTTAATTGATTTCTATTTCTCTGAACCTCTAAAACTCCCCAAAAATCTTAGTTAACAAACATTAAATTAATAATTAACCGTTTCTAAATTGTTAATATATTCTTGATGATAACAGGGATTAATCGCACGCACATTTGTGGAGCTCAAAAAAAACTTGCATTTTAAAAACTTACATTAATAAAATGGATATTATCTGAAACGCGAGGAAAAATGGCATTATTCAAATATGTGAAACATACAAGTTGCAGATTTTATACGATAGATATACATTACATCGGGATAAGTAATCGGACGGTACTTCTAGTGTGTCTATATCGGCCACATTGATGTAATAATTTTCCATCAGCTGCAACATGGTGTTTCTCCAGCAGAACGTTGTGTTGGGAACCGAACTCATCATTTGGGCAATCTTCACGGCACTTTGCCTAAAGAGAAATAAAAGGATTGATAATTGATTCTTTAATCTTGCAAAGTCAAAATGAATTAAAATTAAGGAAACATAAATTGCACTTACATTGTAGCTATGATGACCGGCCATGGTTTTGACATCCAAACGCACGGTTCATCGAATGTAAGCGGTTTTGTGGTACCGTCCGGACACAGAAACTTGTAATCCCGCCTATCGACCATCTCGGTCTGCATCAAGCAGATGTTAATACCGCGTTAAAGAATCGCGCTACAATCCGTCGTAGATATTTTTTAGATCAGCGGATATGATTCTTCAAGTTGTTACACGAATTTTTTTTTTTTTTTGTTATCTCGGTCAAAAACAAGAATCGAATATGGACAATAAACTGATCTTTACCTTGAAGTGCACACGAGCGTTGGCCAATCTGACCCAGGCGACGTCTCCCATGTTATCGGTAAGACACAATAGAGCACCTTCCCGTCCATAATATTTGTCGGTGTTGTAACAACTGGCCGGATTATCGCATGCGGCGCAGAGATTCTTATATTTAGATTCTGTAAATCATAATAAGACTTTATATATGTACGAAAACGTTATTAATTATACTTTCCACAGCTTAATATATGTTTATATTTCCAGAATTCCATACATACTCAGTTGATAATCAAATATCGTGTCTGACGACCACGGGCCAGCGATGCAAGCCATTTCAAAGAATTTGGATAAAGCATGCACTCTGTTCTCGAATAGCGTCATGTTGGAATCGCATTCTTTGCTAATTATCAAGTTTTCGAGATACTGAAATATACGGGAGATCGATAATATACTAGGTAAGTGCAATAATTTTAACGTACTCGCATAAGAAAGGCTCGCTAACCGTTGAAAAAACTGTAGACGAATCGTCGAAGCCGGAATGACATAATCGCTTGCCTTTAATGTCCCATATGCGTTGCACACTTCTATGCGCTATGGCCACTATTTGAAAACGCTCCGCTTCTGAAAGAAAACGCGTCTCATTTGAGGAGTTGCTCTAATTTTAACAATAGATTCTTTGGCATCAAGTTAATGTCGACTAATTCTTTTTTCGAAAATCTAAATGAATACTTTCAGGAGTAATAATCTATATAATAATTATACATATACATAAAAGAAGAATATAACTTAACTAACATTTAAGTAAATCTTATGTTTTATCAAAGATATTTAAATTTTTTATTCGAGGCTTAGTTATAAAACGTACTGAAAAATTGCGACGAAGTTCGACATTTTTGTAGTAAAGTAGTTAAGAGAAGATAAATCGGAAAATTCGTCAATCGTCGAAATTAACGCGTTAAGAATGAAACACCTCGCATACAATTTTGTCTTAATTACCGTTTTGGATGAGTTTTAATTCACTCGTGACTAGAACTTTGTATAAGTAATAGTTTTTTATTGCTACAAGTTCTTCTGGCTCCAATACAGTGAAATCGGCATCACCCCCGATTATGCGATGTACACAGCCAAACCTAAATTAGAATTACTTTTATATGAAAAGTCTGCTTGCACAAAAAAAATTAATCGAACCGCGCAATAGGTCTTCCTGAAAAGATCATATCTCCATAGAAATCTATAGGAATAAGAAAAAATTGCATTTCTCCCAAAATATTCTCGATTATATTATATAATACATGTAATTGCCGTGTATCATTATTATAAGATATTATTATTTTATTAATATTATAATTAATTTTTAATCGGAAAAAATGTTTGGAAACAATCGTCGCCATTTTTGATAGTTGAAAAAAAATAGCGGGGAGATACGGCTTCTCGAGAAAGAGAACTTTCAAAGATTAAAGCTAAAATTTTAAAAAATTTCATATTATCTATGTGATACTTGCCTATCGGTTTCTATGACACATTCTATTGGACTCTCAGCCAGTTTCGAACAAAGTGAAATAATTCTTTTTGAAGTGTAATCGGTTTTCACTACGCACAGTCTCCCTAAAACGTTACGATGTATTCTTTAGTATATCATCATTTCTCGAAATAAAAAAGATCGGGTATTATTTTCTTTTATTGATATTTTTCTACATATGCTTTTTTTCTATGAATTAATATCTTGCATGCAATTTTACTAGTATATAAGAACTGTTAAAAGATTTTCTACAAATTCCTCGAGAAAAATATTTTTGTCGGCGATTGTCTTGTGAAAAAAGAACGCGGAAGGAGTTAATTAATAGTTGACCATATAACCTTCCAACTTCCTTTTATGACAAAACATAACTCGCGTGACGCAATTAGCAATTTTAAATTTTACAGTCTACAGTCTACAGTGTAACATTTTAGCCGAGCAATGAAACTGGCAATCTTTTTCTCGTGACACAATTTTGTTATTAATATTTTCCTTATTGTTAATATTATTTTGCTATGAATAGGTATATAATTTTATTTCTTCATAATATTTTGAAAGGTCATATATTTTTTTACACAAATGTTCATGAAAAAAAGCACTTTAAAAAAAATTTTAGTATAATAATAAATATTATAGTCTGATAATATCGTCGCGATTTTGGTTTTATACTTACATTTTTTATCGATATTGACAGATCCGTGGATGTTTACAAAGATGACATGTATGAAAATAAGCCATATACAGAAATCTATGATCGACTTCGAATTTGTCGCCATTCCTTTTGAGAATAAATCTTTTTGTTACATAATTCTTTGAACAAGAGTTTTTCTAATTAACAAGTTTACATTCGCGAGAGTCATTTAACATCGCTATCATATAAAAGCTAACTGTGTGTAAAGGATCACGTTACTACGATAAACTTATCACCGAGTTATATTTTCCCGAACCAACATGCATACAATCAAATTTACTTGATGTATGTATATTCGATATGTCACATACATAACTATAACGAAATATTATTCTGTACATGCTTAAAATTGTTTTATCTCATTTAAAAAGCTTTTAACATTCCTTCTGTTAATATAATATATATATTTGGAAGAGATGTTCGCAAAAAAATAATTTCGTTCTAAATAATATCTATTTGCAGTAACATTTAGCTATATCCAATTAATCGAACTAATTGATCAATTCATAATTACTATATTAAATTTGGAATATGTTTTGATTCAAAACATTATAACCGTCCTTTCTTAAGGAAGATAGATATATTCGTGTTAATGAGACACTCTTTGTACATTTTTTCCTTGTTGTGAAACCGAATTATTATTATTGCAATTATTATTATTCAAGAAAATATTAACTTTTTAACAATAAATTTTGCAAAGCTAATAAGAACAATAACGTGATTTTTGATATAAGAACACGCATTTTGTCGACGCCGAATATACATCAACGAATCGTATACTTTCGCTTTTTAACCTTGAAACTTTTTGCTGACAAAGAATACCTTATTATACAACAGACCGAACCAATCTAAATTTTGCTAAATTTATGCAAATCGCATTCGATTGTAATTCATAATCAAAACCGAATGTCCACCTCGTTAGCTTTATTCCAACGTATATTGTGACACTAAACATTTGCATTGAGATTTTTAAGCTTTTGAAAATATATTCCTTGAAAATGCCTAAATTGTTGAATATTTAAATTGTTCTAGAATTTTTAAATGCAGCCTGCAATTTTCAAAAACATCGCACGATGCTCGATCTTGCGAAAGCGAATGACATTTCGATTCGAAGAGCCGGCTCCAAATTTACACCAATTCTCTCACTGCATACCTTAACATCGAAATTCTCGTCATATATGCGGTAAACCACGTTTTTTTCACTCGTCTTGCTTGCTACGTTCTTGGAAAGAAATAGTCGAGATGCGCTCAGCTAAAAATATGCCTGTAGAAAATAATCCGGCTTTGAGAATATTATTCAACACACAGAAAAAAATTTGCACTGAACTTTAAAAACTGCGACGCATGTTACGAAAACCGACTGTCCGGCGACTTGGATCGCACACAGCTGATGCTTACCGCTGATCCAACCGATTTCGTCCAGTGTCTGCATGCGTGCGTGTGTATAGGAAACTGGAATCACATTAAATCTGGTGGGAGAGAGAGAGAGAGAGATCGAGCTGGGAGACCTCTTCATAATGCGTACAACGCGTGTTATGCTATGAAAGTGACATTGCTCATGAGAGCCCAAGATAGAACGCTGTTTAGCGGGAAATGCTTTGAAAGTTATAAAGTTTATATCTTTGAATGTTTTTTTCTTTAATTTATTTATTTCTGAAAGATTATGAAAATATTTCTTCTTATAATCGTGTTTGCTCTGATTTTCTTATATAATAGCTTTAAAAATACGAATTTTTAAAACACGTATTATTTTAGAGATGAAATAGTGGGTATTGTTATTATTATCCCACTATCGCATTGTCAGAGCATGAGGAATTAAATTCACGAACTTTGGTTGAGAAATTGATTTCTCGCTCAAGATAATTAAAACTTTGAACACATTGATGGATATCTGAATCATAAGAGAAAAATTGCACCTTATAAAAAAAGAGAAACTTCTTATGAAAGAGTTGTTTCATACAAGAGTTTTTCTTACCACAATCGGTTCATTTATAATTGATAGAAGTATATATAATTTGTTTTTCTTTCATATATTTTTTCAATAAATGAGACTATTTATTTATCTGAATTTTTGATAGGAATGTAATTGCAATTTATGTACATGATTTTTACTATTTATTAGTGATATTGCGAATTATTCTCATTTGAAATTTATAAATTTAATTACTCGTGCTTTGACATTACAAGTTAATCGAAAAGAGATTATTTACAAAACATGCCTTTTAAATCTATATTTTAAAGATATTATATAAAAATTAAAGAGGAAACATAGATATTACCAAAGCAAACATTTTTATAATTTATTAGAAATATACATGTTCTTCTTCTTTCTTATTTTTATTCAGATAGCAATTTATTAATATAAATTAACTGTGAATATTACATCAAATCAAGCATGTATACATAGCATATAACGCAAAGACCGATTGTTTATAAGATGAGACGGGAAATTATGACAATTATAATGATGAGTCACGATAATTAGCAGCAAGATAAGATTTCACTGTCCTTGATTATAGTATTAGCTTCTGTATGCATATGAATGAGCTTTATTTGTGAAGAGAATGATATATCGCAATCTTAAAAAAAAAAAAAAAAAAAAAAACTGGTAGGATATCCGTATACGCTTTTGTACGATAATATATTATGCATTGTTAAAGAGTTAGAGAACCGAGAAACATCTCTATTCAGAATATAATCGTGTACTTCAAGAGCATTATTATTCAAGCATTTCTCGGGGTTAAGTATATAAATATATACATATATATATATATATATTAAAATTTAAATTACATGATTTTCGATATTGTGCAAAATAAAATATAGAAATCGTTTTATTATTATATCGATGAGATAACTTTGCATCGTTATCGCATTCTCGGAGATAATGATACTGCAGTTACACTGCATTACAGATAGAATAAGGTATTTCAGTTTCGAGCAAACGTTCTTCAGTCGCAGTTCTTTTTGAAAAATCTAGAATTAATCTTTATTATAATTTTGTCTTTCATGATAATAAATTTCACAATTTCGCGTATAAAAGATATATGCAAAAAAAAAAAGTAAGAATGCAAAAGTAAAGATTAAACCGATTATCGTAAACAATAAGTTTAAGCGAGCTACATATTTGACATTCGTATCTTTATGAAACTTTGCAAATATTTAGTGAATCGAAAATGTGGCGTCAAACATTTTATTGTCAAAGTGATTATCGAGATAAGACAATGTGTTTTATGTAACGACCGCTGCGTTTGATATCTACTTGGTCATCTCGAACTTTAGAAAATCGTCCCGCCAATATAATTACGTAATAGCACTCGTTCTATCGAAGCGGTGTAATTTCGATACAACGCATATATCGCAATCTTAAAAAAAAAAAAAAAGATTTATGACTGGTAGGATATCCGTATACGCTTTTGTACGATAATATATTATGCATTGTTAAAGAGTTAGAGAACCGAGAAACATCTCTATTCAGAATATAATCGTGTACTTCAAGAGCATTATTATTCAAGCATTTCTCGGGGTTATCATCGGGAAGATAACGTAAATATTCAATATAAGAGTCAGATCGAATTTTCTACCTTGTGATGTGATTCAAACATACGTGGAAATATCAAAGGGCTTCGAGTAAATAAAAGACAAGCTAATAGAATATATAAAAATGCAATACGATAAAATATCATCTTTATTTAAAAACTTCTCGCCGCATCATCGACGGTTAAACAGAACGATATTGATAACAAACGAGCAGATTTTTCCAGCGATATTGCCGTAAATCAACGCATAAATATATATATATTAATTAATATATGATAAGTATAAAAAAAAAGTAAGAATGCAAAAGTAAAGATTAAACCGATTATCGTAAACAATAAGTTTAAGCGAGCTACATATTTGACATTCGTATCTTTATGAAACTTTGCAAATATTTAGTGAATCGAAAATGTGGCGTCAAACATTTTATTGTCAAAGTGATTATCGAGATAAGACAATGTGTTTTATGTAACGACCGCTGCGTTTGATATCTACTTGGTCATCTCGAACTTTAGAAAATCGTCCCGCCAATATAATTACGTAATAGCACTCGTTCTATCGAAGCGGTGTAATTTCGATACAACGCATCAGTATTTAGATGCGAGAAATGTGTTGATTAGAAAAGTGTTCATTTAGTGAAAATTGTGACATTTAAAACTTATATATTAAAGCAGTACAAGCAGAATCTCTATATTTATATGAGACTGCACCTTCTGTTCTTTGTGTCTTTTCTCTTTAGCCCGTCGAAGAATGAATACATGTATCTTTTACGTGTAGAAAGTGCGAGAGGTGTAGCTAGGATGCATAGATAGAGTCGCGTGTATTTTTAATCACGCATACATATGTAGGTACTCTCCACATAATAGCTGTATGACTTACAGCATGCAGCTCGTCAAGCGATTAAGAGGCTCGAAAATTTGTTAGAGGCGAACTTCTGGCGCTGAATGCGCAGGCAGCCTAAATACAGTAAATTTATCGAATTACGTACAGCTCTCTAGCTGGAGACTGGTAGATTTGAGTGACGATCGCAAAGTGTTACGACAAACGAACAAGTGCTTATAAATTTTTTTCTAAAAAGCATCAAATCACGCGTAAAACGCGTATATCAATGTTGTGACAATAAACAGCTGATCGCAACATCGTGCGGCGCCATTTTGGAAGCGTGTGAAGTTTGTAGAAAACGATAGTTTCTTTTGAAGTTCGATATATCGCATATAAATGGCGATGATTCAAATTCGAATGCGCGCACACACGCCTCAAGCAGAATAGAAAATCACAATAATATCAGATGACATCAAAATGACATCATAATGACTATTAAAAATCATTATGATGTCATTTTGATGTCATCTGATATTATTGTGATTTTCTATTCTGCTTGGGGCGATATTATACGAAATATATAATTTTCACGGAAATGCCAAATGTGTTTATAACATTTTGCTGCTGTGTGTAATATATTCGTGAAAAATTTTATACAAATAATATTTTTTATATTTTTGCAGATAAAATTATTTTGACGCAATTCTAGTTTTACATTTGACATTGCTTGACTATATGACATGAGATTATAAAGATGATTGCACCGATTTAATATTTCTATCTACATAAAAATGTGAAGTACGAGGATACAAAATTTTTTGGGCACATCAATATCTATTTTTTATCCAAATACCATGAAAATCAATTACATACAACTGCCTGTAAAGGCTCATTATTTCTTTTTTATGGCAGGTATATATACAATAATATATATTTCCTTTATATACTAAGAATTCTTATCTAACTTGAAATTTCTTGTATGTCTTCTTCATATAATATAAAATATAAAAAGATATACATATATATTTATATAATATAAGAAAATGATATAAATATATAAAATATAAATCTAATATATAATAAAATCTTTTTATAACTTAAACAAATATACTTATTATAGAGAATATATACTATATTTAAAAAATATATGTATATATTATGACAATGTTAAAAATATTAAAAATTAATTATTAATAGTTTAATAAATTATTATTAGATATTTATATATACATATACTGCAAGAAATTAATCATAATTATTTTTCTTATTTTAGCTATGGGTCCTATTTTACCGTTTCTACCAGTTTATGGCAAGCAATTGGGCATCTCACCATTAATTATGGGTAGCATAACTGCGATTTTGCCTATTCTATTTCTGATCGCAAAACCAGCATTCGGCTTTGTCGTAGATTATTTTCGCGCCTGGAGAAAATCGATATTTATAGCATTACTTGCTATAACGAGTGGTTGTTACATTTTGATGTACTTTTTACCAGTATTGCCGGGTCCAATGCTACCAGATCATCAGTTTCAAAACATCTCGTGCTCTTCCTTGCCGTCTTGCGATATGGATTATGTAAATTTTTATTGTCTTACAATACAATTTTTTGTTAATAACGCAATAATAGTAAAAAATTTTTGATATGAAACATTATTTAGTAAAAATTTTATTTAGATAAATTTGTTTATATTTATTTTTATAAATCTAAACGTTTTTCAGATAATTTTAGCTATGTTTTAACGTATTATTTATTGTTTTTATTTTAAGCATACCTCAGCAATGGTATCGTGTAACGGTATAAAAGATACTACATGTCATTGGATATGCAAGGATATGAATTTTTCCACGCGAGTATCTTTTCATACAGTTAGAGAAGAAGCATTCATCTCACCAAATACTACATGTCTATTAAATATTAATGAAACATCATTATGTCAAAAAAATATAACAAATAACTGCAATGTTACCTGTGATAATTTCGAAGATACTCATTGTCTATATACCTCCATTACATTCTGGGGATTTGTTCTTTTAATGTCTCTTGGCAACATCGGTTTTAATGTTTCCAATTGCATAAGCGATGCAATTTGCTTTGACATATTGGGTAAGTGTTTTTGTATATATATTTTAAATCAAAATATAAAAGTATTATCTGCATATAATTTGCAATAATTTTGCAATAATTAGTTGTGCAGTTTTATATATTAATATCACGAAAAAGGGAGGTATGCTTTTCTTACTAAACTTATTTATCCACTCAGGTGAAGGTGGACAAATGGGGTACGGCAGGCAACGAGTATGGGGTACTATCGGTTTTGGTGTCGCAGCATTTCTAGCCGGTTACACAGTAGATTTGTGGTCGCAAGGAGGAATCTATAAGATTTATACACCAGCGTTTCTTCTCGTGTTTGCATTCACTTGTATCGATTTAATTTGCTGCAGAAAATTGGAAGTAATTGTATTATAAATTAAGAAGAAAAGGAAATGGAAAAAAAGAAACAGTAAAAAAAAAGAGAGAAAGAGAGAGAAACAGTTTTATTCATATTATCATATTCATATATTATACTGTTTTCATCTCTTATTATATGATTTTGTTACAGCTGCCACTCATGTCAGATTCGACAAGTATAGTCAAAGATGTATGTGCGCTTTTGAAATTGAAACCTATCGTTATATTTCTGTGTTTCGCTACTCTCGCTGGCATTCTTGATAGCTTCATGATTTACTTTTTGTTTTGGTAAATTTTTAGTTTTATCGATATGTTTCATTGTATTTTTCGATTATTTAATAGAAATACAAATAGAATTGTTATTTAATGCTTTTTTATTAGGTATTTAGAAGATCTTGCTATGGCAACCGGTTATATGGGTGAAATTAAGTTAATAGAAGGTATAATAGTAGCCGCAGAAACTCTTGGTGGCGAGATAATATTCTTCTCATTGTCTGGTAACACATAAAAAATATTTCTAGTATCATAGCATATATATTATCTTAAGATAAAGTTTAAATTTTCTTCTCTAAATTTTATATATTTCTACATGTCCATATTTATGGATTTCTTTCTTCTTTTAGGTGTTTATAAGTTGTACAGCGATCATTTGTGAAAACTGAGAGATGAGTTGTAAGAATAATTAACTTTTAGATAGTAATTTTTACTAATATTGCAAATGAGAAAAAAAAGTTGGATTTTTTATAATTTCAAGTTTTTATATGTGTTATTTCTTGTTTATCATATTCACAATCGCTTTTGCTATTTACTACATTTTGTACACATACACGCACACACACACAATCATTTTTATTATTATACAATAATGCATATAATAAATCTTATTTTTTACTCAAATGACGATATTAGTATCTATAATGTATGTCTCTTGAAGTGTGTGTGTGTGTGCCGCTTTTATCACGTGTGCCATGATGGGCCACGTGATAGCGCAAGGTCGAGGGTCGAGATCGAGAATACAGTTCATGACGCGCTGGGTCAAACGCATAAGCAAATATCAAATGGTTTGAAATATATTGGAAATATCAAAAAAAAAAAAGATTTCTAGTATCATAGAGTTTGTACTCTATGTAAATAAGTATTATATAATTGAAAGTATTTTATATATGCTTATAATATCACAAATTTCTTCTTTCTCCAGGTAAAATATTGAAGAAGTTCGGATATGGTTACACTTTTACATTCTGCTTTGTATGCTACGCGTTACGTCTAGGATTAATATCTCTTGCACCAACGCCATGGTGGGTAATTCCTGTAGAATTTTTCATGCAAGGACCAACATACGCGCTTTGTTACACGACAATAGTAGCATACGCGAGCGCGGTATCACCACCCGGCACATCAGCCACCGTTCAAGGAATTGTGGCAGGAATGGATGATGGTTTCGGTAAGAATTTGTTACTCAGTTATACATTGAGAATTGTTTTGTAATAATATATTTTATATTTTCACAGTTAATAAAAATTCTTGAAATGTTTTATATTTTTTCAGGATTCGCGGTTGGTAGTTTAATAGGAGGTATCTTGTACAAGAAAGTCGGTGGTGCAATCACTTTAAGAATATTTTCAATACTCGCAGCATTTTCCGCATTAATGTATCTCATTCTTCACAATCTGTACTTAAAACATAAAACACCAGGTAAAAATTCACAAGTAATTTTTAAATTGTTAAGATGTGACTTCAGAATATTACGAAAAAAATAATAAACTTTTGCTTTTAATTGCAGACACACAAAATAATGTTGAATGGAGAAAACCTGACGATGCACAAAAGCATTGTGTTGTAGCAGAAACATAACGTTTTATATAATTTTTCTTATAAATAATAATATAAAAAAATAAGAAACATTTTATTTTATTTTCTATATATACAATATATATATATATATAAAGACAATAGTGCGAATTAAACCGTGGATACTTTGTCCCAATGTGAACGGAGATGTAATAAACAACAAAGAGGAGGAACCGTATAATATAAAAATGACAGATACTTTGCATTTGGATATCTTGCCGTACGAAGTGTTGCTAATGATCTTTGATTATTGCGATGCTTTCGATCTGGTGCGACTCAGCGAGGTGTGCAAGCGATTTTACGAGATCGTACGCTCGGATGCGGTCTGGATCAAAAAGAGCAGAGGATTGCTTGTCACGAATCAAACGTCAGAAAGATTTCGTAGAAGGTGCGTTGTATAGGTTATACGTGGGTTTGATAAATCTTCATTTAAACCAAAACTTTATCTATTAAAATTTAAACGAAGCAAGCTTCACTTGGACGTAACATTCATTAATAAGAATAAAATAAAATAATTTTTCAAATTTAACGTTTAATATATACTCTCTTTCATTGCATTAATATAACTCTTTTTGATGCATTGATATTAAGCTCTTTTTTTATTATGTATTTAATTTGATAACTGGATATTTATAAAATATATTTAATTATTTACGATTTGGAAGGATATATTTATACAATTCTATATAGAAATATCTTAAAGAGAATACATGTTATTTTATTTCTCAGATGCAATCCAATATTATTATCTCCACGCAATATGTGGCTCATATCTTACAATTGGCGATATGGAAGATATGACAATAAAACTTTAATATTGAATAAAGTGAAAGTGATGCCATGGCTGCAAATGACGAACGACACTCTCTGGTGGAGTGGTGGTAATCACCTTTATGGTGTTAAGCACAGTTCAAAACATTTTAAAGAAAAAGTCAACATAGAAATAAACTATAGTAATCGCTTTTATAATAACATATATGTAGCAGATATCTGCAAATTTGTCCTTTGTGGAAATTTTATTATAAGTGGTCATAGGTGTGTATCCAGTTACAAATACTGTTCAAATTTTGTTTTTTTCTATAATAAAATTCTTTGCAAAAACTTTTCTTAGCAACGGTGATATACAGTATTGGCTAGATAAATCACACAAAGGCTATCCTCGTGCTGTAAAGCTGTTGAGACATGTTCATTCTTGCGATATTAATGGCATAGATGCAACATCGCAAAATATTATATCAGGTTCGGTTGATGGTATGATAAAGGTGAGATAGAGATATAACTTGCCTATAATGCAATGATAATTTATGATGTAATATGTTTGTTCTTGTTTAGATACAAAAAAATGTAGATATTGAAGAAAGCAATTTCGACAAAAATGAGATCAGCATAGGTTTCATGGATAAAATAGATAGGGTGCAGTCACTTATGATTGATCCTACAGGGACGCAATTCGCTGTCGGTTCGTCTGGAACCACCAACATTCCACCACTTAATTTAATCAATATTGAAACACTTATACGGTAATATTGCATATTAATATAGCAAAATAATTGATGGTGTTACAAGATGTATGATTGGATATGATTTTGGTATATAGTGAACAATTTGCAACAAGCTAATAGAGAGATTTCAGTTATACGATGTTCGATAAAATACGGTATCCATGGAAACACGGTGCTGGAATATTAGACATGGTGTGGGATAATCCGCAAACTTTACTCACCTGTGGCTATGACACATTTGTCCGAAAATGGGATTTGAGGTAATATATATATATCGACTTTATTAGATTACTCAGCTTAGTTATTATGTTCACAATTATGTAACTCTGGACGTTAACAATTACGATTTCAGAACCGAGAAATGCGTTAGTTCATGGGCAGATCCAAATGATGCAGCATTATATTGTATTTCATCCGATTATCAATACAGTATAATTACAGGAGCACAGCATGGTTGTGCAGCTGTTTTATGGGATCAAAGGATGTGTAATTTTGTTCAGGTTCTTATTCGTTTGAAATCATATGCATTTTGTATTTTATATGTTGTCATTACAAATTTCTTTCTTTAAAATTTCTAGTTATATTATGTAAATTCGCGCACAGTACATCTAAGCAGCCCGATTTATTCTCTACGATTCGATAGTAGTCATCTGTATTGTGCTCTGGACCGACGTTTAGCCAAATTAAGTTTCTCAGGCCAGTCGTGCCAGAGGTATAATTACAAACAATTTTATTAATTAATTTGTAACTGTTTGATTACATATTTCTTGCTATTCGAGATATAGAAAAAATAAAAGATGAAATTATCTTTCTCTCTATCTCTCTAGGAATTAAATTGTGTATTATATAGTTCGTAAAAAATTATATAAAAAATGGAAGTAATATCATTTCTGATATAAAGTTCTGTGATGATACATTTTGTATTTTCGTAATATATATATGTAATAAAAAAATGGAAAGCAATTATACTGCAACAATTTTACAACAGTTTATTACTATTGTGATACATACACAAAAGCGAAGAATGAATAACTTTCCCCATATATATGTAGTAAGAGTATAACTATTATATAAAATATTAAAAAAAAACTAATTTTCCGAACAACGCGGTTTAGTGATTTTTTCGAAGTTGATTATAACAAACTTCGCGTAGTGAATTTGACACTGCAAATATTAACAATAATTGGTATATTAATATTTTGGATGTTATAAAATAAATATATTAATTACCCACGCTGTATATACAAATAATATAATTACTTTGATCGTTTTGGATGAAACAAGAAAAAAAAACAGGCGTTTGTTACAATAGCATGTAAATTATATTGTATGCTTACTTATGTTTCCTTCGCATACTTGTGAAACTTAAATCTTCTTTAAAGGAGATATATTTTATATCCCAAAACCAATATATTAAGTATCTCTCATTAAGTAATCTTCCAAAAAAGCCATTTATATTCTCTTTTAAAAATCTCATCAAATCATTGTTCTAATCATGTAATTGAGAATACCGCCGTGTTTGAAGTAGGTCAAGTCAACTTCTGTGTCGAATCGTGTAATCACTTCGAATTTCTTGCCATCATCAGTGCTTACAGTAATTTTTGCTCCGGGTTGACAATTCTCGGGAATCGCAATGTCGTATTGCTCATAGCCTGTTAAACCTAAGGACTCTGCATTTTCTCCAGGAAGATACTCCAATGGAACAATGCCCATACCCACAAGATTGGATCTATGAATAAATAAACGATTTTAAATAAAAACATTTAAGTAAATCTTATTATTACGGAATTGTTTCTTTAAAAAGAAAAGATATATTTAACAATTCGATGAAAATATATTTAAACTTTATCTAATATAATTCGGAGGAAACTTGCCTGTGTATTCTTTCATATGACTCGGCTATGACCGCTCGTATACCGAGCAGATATGGTCCTTTAGCGGCCCAATCCCTGGAAGATCCGGATCCGTATTCTTTACCAACTAGAGCAATCAGACTCGTCCCATCTTTCGCGTATCTCTCAGCTGCGTCAAATACGTCCATCTAAATAACATCAATTCCTTATCAATCATTCGCCATCAGTGTGTATTTTAAAAATCGTACACGTTAAATATATTCTAATAACATAAAAAAAAATAATTCTCTCTAATGAATTGTATTTCGTTTATTCGAATTGTCTAATGCTTATGTATCATCGTTCTGTTACATTATAAATCGAAGAACGTTGTAGCGAAAATAGTCGAGATAAATTGTTGAAGCTAAACAGAGAGATGTACCTCTTCGTTAGTTGGAATGTAGATCGTTCGTGGTCCCGCTTTACCGATGAATTTGTTTAGCAGACGAATGTTAGCGAATGTGCCCCGCGCCATCACTGCATCATTTCCTCTGCGCGAACCGTAAGAATTGAAATCTTTCGGTGTCAAGCTAGAAATAAAGATATACTCTCAAAAATTCGGCTAATTTTCGAATGTCAATTGTGTCCATTGTACGTTAAACTCACCCACGATTCGCTAGATATCTCGCCGCTGGCGAATTACGCGCGATACTACCCGCCGGGCTAATATGATCGGTCGTAACGGAATCTCCAAGATTTACGAGCACTCGCGCTCTCGTAATCGGTTTTATTAGAGGTAGCTCCTATAAAGTGATATATTTTTTTACTTCATAGATATAGGAGATAGGAAATTGCAAATTGTTTCAATATATAATTATCGAAAAAAACTAATCTTAAAGATTTGAAAAGATTACATTTAAGTTCTTTCGAATTTTTTGAAGATTGGACATTAAACTATACTATACTGATACTAACGATATTAATATAATAAATTAATAATTCTAATGACCTTCTGCAAATTATCGAAATAAGGTGGATTTTTAATGTACGTTGAATTAACATCCCATGGATACAATTTACCACTAGGCGCTATCAAATTCGCCCAATTGCTGCTGCCCTGTTCGATTTTACTATAAACTTCTTTGAACATAGCCGGAATGACATATTGTTGTTCTACAACTTGAATTTCCGTTCTGGTCGGCCATATATCTCGCAAATATATCGGAGTACCATTAGATTTGTGACCTTAAAAAATACATATGCATATATATTTTCCTCGAAGTTTCTTATATATCTTTATAATCCATAAAAGCATTTTACCTAATGGTTCCTTTTCAAAATCGAAATTCACAGTGCCGGCGATAGCATATGCTATTACCAAAAGCGGAGATGCTAGATAATTCGCCCGAGTATTCGGATGGACTCTGCCTTCAAAATTTCTGTTACCTGATAGAACTCCACAGCAGACCAGTTCATTCTGCAGACAAAACAAGAATTTAACAATAAGCGTTGCTTATAAGCGTAAAAATGTTAATACTTGTAAAATAAATCATTTAATTCGATAAGATGTTGTTGATTTCATAGTCTTTTCAAATCAAATAACATTTGTTAAATTTACGATTACGATTCTTTAAATATTTTGATTTCATTTGACAATAAAAACTTATAAAATTATTTTTATTTTTCGGAATTTTATTATTTCGGAATATCTTACCTTTTCGATAGTTTCGACTATAGCGTCAGGCAGCGGACCGCTGTTTCCAATACAAGTCATACACCCATAACCCACGATATCGAATCCCAACTTTGTCAGATATGGAATCACTCCGCTTTCTTCAAGATAATAAGTCACGACTCCGGAGCCAGGTGATAATGATGTTTTTATGTACGGCTCGACACTTAAACCAGCTTCCACCGCTTTTTTAGCAAGAAGACCTGCATCAAATTTTGTAAATTTTGAAATAAAAACATATTTTTTATATATAATAATGAAAGAATGATTTTCACGATTAAATAATATTGCTGCTAATGAGCTTACTCGTAAGATACAATAATAAATTAAATATTCTTTCTCTTTCTCGCTTACAGAGCAACATATTTCGTTTATTATCATTCTAATCTGAATGTTTTATAAAGAGGTATTTTAAAAATACAAAGGAACATATTAAAAAGTTACAAAATAGAACAAGGCTTTTGCATCAATGTAATAAATTATAAAATGTTAACATATCAATTGTGTTAAACTTCTATATTTAATGTTAGATTTTTCTAATAGAATTCATATAAAAGTCACAGTATAACTTACCTGCTCCAAGCATAACACTTGGATTGCTAGTATTCGTACAGCTAGTAATCGCCGCGATGACCACCGAGCCATGTTTCAACTCGTAATCTTTTCCCTCATATTGAAATTTTCCCACAGTATGCACCTTCGCCGGGGTTAATCCGTAGCCCTTGAAACCCACCTGCAATTTCAAAAATCGCCGCTCCGTAAAATATTTTCAAGCCTTAAGAATAAAGAAAGTTTCATTGCATTTAAGTATGCAGTCGTTAAGCTTCAGAGAAAAAATCTATTTTAACTTATTATCAGTAGTATTTAGTTTCTTATCAGTTTGTCTAATGGAAAAGTTCATTAACGACTAATGTAGTATAAATTTAGAAGTAAAGGAATGTCTAGCTGGATAAAAAGAAAAGATATTGAGCATCTGCTTCGATTTAACGCATATTACTGTAATATTCCCATATTCCCATATTGATGATTTCACCTTACAAATTCGGCGGAGTTCAATGAGCGAACTTAAAGTCGTGATATGAAAATTCATTGTCCGGTAAACGATTTGCTGAAGAAGCAGCATGGGTTTGCAACAATCTTTAAGCAATCGTGAGGTCTACGACCGCGTGCACACTTAACACGTGTACAAATCAACTCTAATCTTTTTAGATATAAAAAAGAAATAATAAATAAAAAAATGTCATTAAATATTAGAAAGATAACAAATGCATCGTAGGATATATTGAAGTAGGAACATAACAATATAAATACTAATAACAAATTTAAAAAGTATGCGTAATTATGTGAACAAGTGTATCTTACTTGTTTTAATTTGTAATTATGTATATTAAATGATAATTGTATGTGTTCGTGATATATATATTTTTTTGGTTTAATATTATTTCTATTTTTAGAAATTTCTGAAAATATATAGTCACATTTATTAATGTTAACAAAATTTTATAAAAATATATCTTTCAAACAAAATTCTCTATCGGTTTTTGTAAATGTATCTCTTTCTTTATCGGCTTTAGGCATTGTGCCTTAATGAGAAATACGAGCTACCTCTATATACCAAACGATGGCTCGTTTGCAATGAAATGTGTGAGCTTTGCAAAACGAACATAGTAGGATGTTGTATCAGCAATTTCAACGCGAGTCTGAATATACCGCCTTCCAGAACTTATGCGAAGTGCGATTAAAGACTCTTGTCTTCTCCGACGAAGCGGACGGATCGATCAATCAACGGTACGTGTACGAATTATCTTCTCCTTCATAAATTTTTAAGTGTCACATTCACATTCTCTTACGTTCCAAAGGATAAAAAAGAGTAACGTGTTGTACAAGAAGATTCCAGCAATCTGTATAAAAAAATATTAAAAATTTCGATTTGCACAAGCTGATTATATCCTGATATGCGATTATTTTTTCATAAACGTAATATTAGGAAATTCTTAAAACCCACAAATAAAATATATAGCCTGGTATATAATAATTTTGCTGATTTTGGACAAATAAAGCCTTGTAATTTCTAGCTGCTGATTTTAGAAAACGATGACGCGGCTGACAATAGCTAATCAGTTTTACCATAATGTGTGTTTTATGTATGCCGAAAACATTAGTCATTAGTGTGACGAAATATATATAATGGCATATTACTATTAATGATTCGAAATGAAAATATCATATTTTAAAGTTACGAAATAAAGAGAAATAAAACTTCCATTTTTTTAAATAATGAAAACATAAAAGTACACACAAACGAAGTCATAATCCATATTTTTTAAATATTTTTACGTTACTCTTATTCCTCCACATGAAGAGATGTTGCTTTCAGAAACATTAAAATTAGTTTCTAT